ATGTGAAAGCAAACTTTTTTCAAACGACTCTTTGCTATGAAGACAACAAAACAAATCTTTTTAGTAAGAAATCTTTAAGCTTGCTTCTTAATTTTAAAAATACGTGAAGAATTTCAAAGTTAACCAACAGCATAATTTTGTAACTTTTGTTAAACAGTTGATAATTTATATCATAAGATAAATAATAAACGCTGATGTGGACAAAATCCTCGATACGATTGCAATTTCTTTGAAAATTGTAAGCTGAATTGTTTATTATCTTTGTTACGCAAATTTTGTTAAACTTTTAATTTAAAGCCGGCGTACCGAATTCAGAATTATTTAAAGATTTTAATTTTCTCTGAAACTAATAAAACAATAAAAGTAACCATTTTTCAAATGGTTTATTTAACCGCATATTCCTTTTCCCAAATCCAATTCACAGTCATTAATGAAATTCCCCAAGAATTGAACTGCGATTTCATACAACATAAATTCAAATAACTGTCATTTTAGAAATGTATTTTGAAACGCATTTTAATGAGAGAAAACTGCTTATTTCAAGTTTTTTTTTTAACTAAACGCTTATACAAATACATAAATAAAGTTTGTGATGATATTGCACGATTAAATGGACTGAAATATGGCAAAGCACGCTAAGGTTATCTATCTTCCTCACGTTAACACATAGCTTCATGTTAGGTAACTTGAATATGGTAAGGCACATGAAGGCCATTGATCGAATGGAAAGTATGCCTTCATTCCAAGGAAACTGGCTCGTATTTACGTTACTCATAGAAAAACCACAGAAAACCAACCATGCACTCAATCCGGGTTTGAACTTGGGACTGACTAGAATTCAGCCACTAGTATGGATAATACAAACGGGTAAAAACCATAAAAATTCCCATGCAGTCAGCTTCAGTGTTGGCAGATCGAACGATTTGTCTCATATTTGCTACGTTTACAAACCTAGCATATTAAAATTTATGTCTGTGCGATTTTGACGATTTCTTACTATGTCCTCTTTGCTTGTGCTACATTTTGCAACACAAAATTTTAACATAGCATAAAATTTGCATATGTTAATATAATGTGTGTGCTAAAATTAATCTAAAATTTAAAACAATTTAGGCTAACCTTTGGAATATGGTAACAAGTAATTCGGCGACATTTTGGTAAGGCGATAAAGGTTACTAGGTAGGACTTTAGCAATAATCTGAGAAGTACACAGATTATTTTGTTTCAGAGAAATAAGAGATCATGAGACATGTCGTGTGACATTTTCTGGAAAATTCCGATCGTGATTTTAGCTAATAAGCACTTAGAAACAATTTCACTGCTAAAGTGCGAAATCGTCCACTTATTTGTTTGGCGCTTTTTACAAGAATAAGTATAATTGGATTTTTGCCAATTTTCTTTAAGTGAAAATAGGTCGATGTGTACATGGATAAAGTCAAGCGTGTGCACAATGCCATTTTTGTGCAATTCTGGGATTTTTTTTTTAAGTAAAAATAGGTCGCCGTGTACATGGATACCGCGTATGTGCAATTCCTAAAAACGCGCGAAGCAGTGGGCGATTCTGCATTTTCTCCCAATTTCGCACCTAATCTTCGTCACGATTAAGCACTTTTGTTCCATAAAAGTTCTAGCGTAATTCGGCTAGCAGATTGTTGGAAAAAATGTTGAGTAAAAAATCGCCAAATTACCATAATCCGAAGATTCACCACAATTTATTTAGCTTACATAAAAGCTAGTAATTAACTGGCAATCCTTGTCAGCCCTTTCGCCAGATTCTAACTTGGATCGAATTACTACAGTTATCTCTTGGCTGCTAGTGTGCACTGCACGCTTTAATCGTATGCTTTTAATGGTTGATCACTAACTCATGATACTAGTTTGATAAATGAATCAACTACGGCATACTATTTGAAGATGGCAGTTTTGCGCTCCAGAAACAAATTCTATGATATTAAAAGTTGTACCACGACAGTTGTCAAAATGATACGGCTTAAGTCATAATCATCCAATGAAAAGTAAAGGTGTCATTTAAAGAGTTGTGTAAAACTTATATGCTATGAATTATGCTAGGATTTGTTATCTGCTAGGAATTGTTATATTATTACACTAGCCACTTAATACTTTCGTCACTACTAAGGCCAGAAGCGTTGATCATTTTGATATGGAGGCATCTTATAGGTGACCACCGTTACCCCCCCCTGTGAAGAGACGGACAATTTACATCCATGCATTCTCCGGGATTCGTACTCAGGTCCTTCGGTACCGCAGTAGTCAGATGCTAGGAAATGCTGAATTCTAGAAGTTCTAAAAATGTTAAATCGGAAACAAAGTTCCTGGGTTGATTTTCTGAAGCGCGGTTTATTTTTTAAAAATTTACTTCGCAAATTTAAATGGGCTGAGAATTTTTTTACTTTGTTTTGTTATTGGGATATTTTACAGATTGTGCAATGAAAATGAATCTCTGAAGCTCCTGTTAAACTTTCTCATGCATCTTAAAAGGAGTTTTGTAATTAAACTTGTTCTGATTTGGGAGCTTATTTCAATTTTCTTAATTCTTATTGAAACCGTTACCATTAGATCAATTTTGTCACCAAACGTTTGAAAAATATTTAATCGAATAATTTTTCCGATATTCCTCGTACATTTAATACGTACACTACAATTTCAGACACTCACATAAAAGCCTATTATGATATATGTACACACTTTTTCAAATCTATTATTATAACTTTTATAAGTATATAACTTATGTTGTATGTATTAACATACATTTATTTATGTTGTATGTATTAACATACATACAACATAAATATCCAGATTACTGATGTTAAAGAAACGTTTAACTTATTTTGCCTCATTTAATAGTCTTATAGTGTAACAGTAATTATGCGATGTGTTTTAAGTTACCCACTGGTAAACAGAAGTAAAAAGTTTTTAATTTGTTTAATTCTAAATTCAGACAAATACATATTTTTTTTTACATTTGCAAAGCATAATAGTGTATTTACATTTACAATTTGGCATTATCAAGCTGTATACATAGTAATATCGAAGACTTCTTGAATAACTTTTTGTTCCTAATTAAAGTGCATATAAAGTTCCATGTTTTAAATGATTGTTTTAAAATTATTTTCGTAAAACGAATTTTTGAACTTTGAAAAGTAGGGAATGAAGAAAGTTACAAAACTGATCAATAATCTTTGCAGACATAAGAATCTTTTAAAATATCAAGCATTTTTAAAATTAGTTTTTTATAACAAGAGCATTAAAAGACGAAGATTAAAATATCATTTTAAATAATAAAAATGGCTAACTTTAATATTTAAGTAAAACTGATACTTTTTGTGATGCATTAGTACCTTACCTTCAGCAACAACAGAAAGATTAAAATCAACAGCAAGAGATTAAAATGATTACCACTGCCTTATTTCGGCTTATTAGTGAACGATTGCATACTATCATAGAAAACTAGTTTGTTGCATCTAGGGTTTGATTCCCAACTCAAATTTTATTAACCTCTAAAGTAAAAACAAGATTTTTCCTCCCCAAAATTGTTCAAAGAAATCTTTCTTCCCAAGCTTTGTTCTCCAGTAACATTAAGGTAAGTATACAAGTTTACGACATATAAGTAATATTCGCAATGTGCAATAAATAGATCTTTACATATATTAAGATGTCGAAACTCTTATTTTATAGATTCAATACTGAAATTCAGATATACAAATTAATAACAATTTACTAACAGATGGGGGAAACTTAAGTAAAATTCATAAGGGCTATCTACTTTATAAAGAACGTTTTTTGAGCAATTGAAAAAATTGTTAAAAAAAAAGAAGTTTGTTTTTACATTAGAAGTGAAAATCTGGAGTATCTGCTTGCAGATATCAAACATAGGACCACATTTAACAAACAATCATATGAAATACTGCAGTGCCAATTATTTAAATTTCTTTTCCTAGCTGAAGTAGATTTAATTTTTCTAACATTTCAAGCACAGCAAAAGGAAATTTTCCTCTAGGATAGCTGAGCTATATTAGCATATTCATCTCGTTTCAGGACTTCTGCAATATATATATATTAACTAAATAAATACCGACTTCACTGACATTTCTAAACGATTACTTACACATGCCCAGACTATTCAGCATGTTTAGTTAAAGAAACGATTCCATGTGTAAAGCAGAAAAAGCATTTTCATATCGTGATCAAGAAAATTTTTTAAGGAATTTTCGGAAAGTTTGGAGTTTTCTAATTGTTTTAGTTTAATTGATTATGGCAAAACACTTGAGAGCTACCTTCCTAAAGAGAAAGATACCATCGTGGAGCTTTTCTAATGGAAGCTGACTCATATGCACGTTACACATAAGGGAAACCACGAAAATGTTCATGCAGCGAGCCCGTTCGCCGGGATTCGAAAACCGGACGGAACTCTCTAACCGTTCTAAGATCAAGGCTGGCCCTTGAAGTTTTCGGAGCAAATCTTTGGATGTTTAGAGAGTTAAGGACCAGATTTACAGAAACAAAATGTAACACTGGGGGAAAAACATTTTTCAGCTTACTTACCATTTATTTATTTACCATTAATTTTTAGAAATTAATCTCTCCTCTTTGTAACGTATTTTTCATGTAAAACATACTAGATAGATGTCTTTTGATAATTATAACATAAAAGGGATATTTATAATAAAGCAAACAAGGAAATTTATTTATAATTACAAAGCACATAACACGATCCATTAAATTTCAGCAAGAGTTTATCTGATATAAAGTCTTATTATCCGACTTCACCTCCTGCGAACATATTAAAACAATTTAAATTATTTATATATAACTTAGTGAAGCGTTTAAGTTAATTCTGTTTAAATAAAGCATACCGCATCTTATAGATGTTGAAAATCTTCTCAATAAATTTGTTATAGTATAAAAATTTAAGGTCAAAGTGTTTTACCGTTCAAAAATTTACTACAGGGCCAAGAAGAATGAAACTGAAAGACACTTACCAACTATATAATCATACTCAGTCTCCCATCTGTCTTTCGTGAGTGGGGCTGTCGTATCCTGAGCCCTCATGTACAACAGAGCAGCGAAAGGCAGAAGCGACGGTAAGTATTGCAATACACCCATGTTAGTTGTGATTAGAGACCATGTTACCACTCTGCACGCACACAAACAACACAATTCTCAGCCAAATGGATTCATTTCGCTGGGCTCACTTGGTCAGCGGGCCAGTTCTGGCAGGATGCTCCGTTTTCGCGGGCGAAAAAGCCAATCATAACTTGGCGGGACAATCACTGGAAGGCTTAATGACGTAACCTTGTGGCGTCACGATATATGTGTGAAGTCAAAGGAGTGCTACTAACCAAGATTTTCTGGTTTCATTCTGGAGAAGACGGGAAATTCTTTTTCTCTTGGCAAGTAATCTGGTCATCAACGTTGAAATTTTGTTTTATTTCAAGAAAGCATTGTGATATTCTTTACGTTTGTTTGTTTGCGTAGATCCGTTAGCAGTTTCATTTATTTATTGTAACATTATGCGCTTTCACTGACTGAGTTGCTAAAAATATCATAATCGAATAGGCAATTGTTCAGATAGACAGGAAAATACACTTATTATTAAAATCAATTAAACACAATTACACAACAGACAACATTTGAAATTTTTTATAGTCGAAAGGGTATGTAATAAATTTCTTTCATTGTAGGCTGAAACAGTTCAATATTCCCCCATTAAAAATATTGAATTACATTCTTAAACGCAATAAATGGGATCAAATTCTTTGTTCTAAAGATGAAAATCCGGGGTTCGGTGTTATTCATTAGGTGTAATTTTTTAATTAAATTCTGTTTAATTTTTATTTAATTTTAATGCAATTCAATTACCAAATCTAAGTTTATTTGTTTGTGTTCAGTACTTAAAATCGCTTTTAAAGGAAAAAAAAATTGTTTTAAAAAAATTGCTTGATTGTTTATTAAGATTGGAAATAATAACTAAATAATGAAATAAATTTTATAATCCACATAAATAATAATTATTAAATTTAAAGTAAAGATGAATACTTCATCAAGTAGAACATCAAAATATATATAGAGAAGCTTCGAAAAACATCTGTATGGAACATAAACTTTTATGCATGTATGTATTTTAATTAAAACTCTCACCTCCAGTACGAAATAGTTATGTAATTTTTATTTGCAACTTATTATTCGTTTTGTATTATTATTTTTTGTATAAAAGTAAAATAGGTTAGCAGTATTCTTTATTTTGCGCTGATCTAAATTTAACTATTTCAGTCTGGATTATTTAATTATGGCAAAAGCACACTAGAGCTATCTGCTTAAGGGGAGGGATGCCTTCGTAGAGGACTTTCTAAGGTAAACTGGCTCGTATACACGTTACACATGGGGAAACCACGTAAACGCCCATGCAGCCAACCCGTTCGAGGGATTCGAACCTCGGACTGAACTACCAGCGTTCAGCGACTTTACCGCTCGGCCACTGGTGGGCCTTAACTATTTTAGAAAGCATAACTATTCTATCCCCGTCTCCGCCGCTTACTAACTGGAACTTTCTTTGCAAAAGGACCTCAATATTAATGTAAATTTTAGACATTTTTACTAAAATTAATTACGTGACCAAAATTGTTGCATTTTGAATGCTACTTTATTTCATTAATTTCCTAATGAGTTATGAATCTGAAGCAAACCGTTCGAATAATACTGAATGTTGTAAAATATGTTTTTATTTAATTCTTTTTTGAGTTTTCTTGAGTATATTTATAAACATAAAAACTGAGAATTTGGGGGAAATGAAGAAAAATACAGATTTATTTTGTATTTTTGGTCTCACAATTTTCATGCAACTTTACTTTATAATAATTTGCAAGTTTTGTGCAGAAAAATTCCCTAAGAGTAGAGTTTCAAGTTTTTTATACGCATACATTTGTATCATAACATTTTCTTATATGTTACATATTTTGTTCATGAAAATAAAACCTATCCTTGATATTTATTTTTACTTTCTTGTACGAAGTAAAGGAAGTATTGCAATCGCGAAAAATTTCAGGTATCATATTTCAACGAAATTATCCATTTCAACCGCTCTCGAATCCATTTGAACGATGTTTTTGCATGACATCTATACCTACGGAGAGAATAAAGGACTCTTTTTGCCAAAAAGGATTGTAAATTGAATTTAAAAGGGATTTAGAAAAGATTTTTTGTCTTGACGTCTGTACGTACGTATATATGTATCTCGCATAACCAAAAAACGAGTAGCCGTAGAACGTTGAAATTTTGTATATGGGACTGCTATAACATGTAGTTGTGCACCTCTTTTTTGCAATCGACTGCACTAATCATATGTGAATATATATATATATATCCTCATGTACTATACTCTAGATAGAAGTGCTTTAAAACATTAAATCTTCTTAATATCTTGGCAAATTACCTCTTAGGGAAACCTCATCTATTCTAAATTGGACCCCAGCTGAATGGTTTATGGTTCAGCACGGCCTTCTGTGTTACTGAAACTCTATTCATCATCAAGCTTTGAGGTTCTGGAGCATTTAGAACATCCATAGAAAATCTGAACCATCCTTCTGTTAAGGCGTGAGCAATTATTTCCCTATCATTATTTCAATATACAGTCACCACCGGAACATCCTTATAAGATCACATTACAAAATGACATGATTGATTGTTTGTTTGAAGCATGTTCATCTTGCGTGCTTTATCCCCCTCCCATATGAATTAGTTCAATAATTGGAGAATATGAGTTAACTGATATAAATACACTGTCTGTGAAGTGCTTTGATATTCCGCCTTGGCAGAATGAACAACGTTGCAATAGGCTGCACCAGTCATGTATATATAGATATATATATATATAGAGTGATTCTAAATTGTTTTTACAAATTAAGAGAGTGAAAGTACTCCTCCACATGAGCAATAATTTCCAAGAAGATAACGTTCATCAAGATAATGTAAGACCACGTGTATCTGCATTCACCGGCTGGACTCTGTACGCACTCAAATGGAGTCTTTTGCCACACCCAACGAAGAGCCCTGATATCGCTCCTTCAGACTTCTACTTTTTCTCACACCTGCAGCTACATCTTTCTGGTGGAATCTTACACTCTGCACATAACGTCCGAAATGAGGTTGATCTGATTTCGGACTCGAGGCCACCACGTTTCTGGGGCGAACGCTTTGAAAAACTACCAAAACGTTGGCAGAAAATCATAAATTTGGATGTTGATTACTACCCGCACTAAAGATACTACTTTCGCGTTCTTTTTCTTAACTTTATTAAGAGCGTTTTTTTGGCTGAAAACTTTCTTTACGACCAGATAGTAGATTGTTACGCTGTGGTGCTTAAAGCGTCCTAAACATTGATATTATCTAAAATCGTTTTGAAATTTTATTATTTATTTTTCAGAGTTATCAGTTAGATTCTAATTATCAAGTAATTATCGATGATGCAGTCGAAGATCTACTGTTGCGCCTCCGCTTCCTTTGCGTGCAAAATTCCAGTTCGTGTGAAAGAGTAACACTCTTCCGTGCAGACGTTCTGTGTGACATATTCTTTACACATAGATCGACCACAGATAAAAACAAAATCCTCCTGAGAAAAAAAGACATGCAAATAGTGAAATGTTTGATTGCAAACAAGAAAGCATTGTACCTCGTAATGAATCAAGTGGTCGAGAAAATTCTACTGCATAATTGTTCTAATGAGGTCAGTATTCATAAATGTTTAATCATAAAAAAGACAATAGAGTATTTGAACACAAAGAGTTAAATAAAAATCTTGAGTTAATGATTCTACTCTTTGCAATTTTTTTAAGTTCTAAAATTTAGTACAAGAAAATATTATAATGAAACTATATAAACACATATGCATCACTATGAAGAAAAATTATATCCTTTAAAAATTATCAGAGTTTTTTTTCAATAATAATTCATTTGTTGAATACTGCGAATGCATTTGTGGAATACTGTCTAGGCAATGATACAACGAGTGAGGTGAACAAAACAGAAGGGTTCAAATCTAAGAAACATTAAAAAAAATCTGAAAGCTTTCAGATTTTATATTATGCAAAAAAGGGGCGTTTTTTAACGTTCTGTGTGTGACCTTTATTTATTAATTATCATGTTCTTCGCACTTAAACCATAAAATTCAATTCAACAGCAATATCGCAAAATAATTTTAAACCGAGAATATCTTTAGAATTTCCGAAACACAGCCTCTCGCGCTGGAGATAAAAATGTTTTTTTTTTTTTTTTTTTTTTTTTTTTTTTTTTTTTTTTAAGTACAGTGTTGCCATTGCTCGCTTTAAAATCGTTAATCACGAATCAAAAATTCGTTCAAGTGTTACAAAATATGAAATCTATAATAAAAAAAATTTCAAATTCCAAATTAGGGTTTCGAGATGCCCATATTCGGTGGAAGATTACGTTATTCAAAATTGGATGGCTCTATGTACCGTTGTGCTAGAAGCATATATATATTTGTGCAAGATTCTTCATTATTTAATTTCTTTAAATATAACACAGGGCGATAATATTTGGTGGCAATAATTTGAAAAGTGAATCAACATTTACAGTGAATCGACGCAAAATGCCAAAACAAAATTAATAGCCCTTCTGGGCAAATTGCCCCTTTGAACTAAAAAGTAAGAATTAATTTAAAAAAAAAATAATGAACCATTATTAAATCAGAATTAATTTTCAGATTTTCATTCAAATTCTAAGACAGAGATTAAGCGGATCTTTACATTATGAGCAATTGTGTACTGAACTAGCAAAAAACAAATTAATTACTAATTCAGAAGTCAAACAACAAAAATCAGCGTTATATTTTCAAAATTTTCACAGGACTAGTTTCGATGGTTTTACCGAACCACCATCCTCAACTGCAAAATCGCAAATGAACAAGACAGGAAATAATGATTAGATAAGATAAGAAAGCCTGGACAAGAATAAGCAAGCGCCATCTGTTGATGAAACCAGAACTAAAACATAATTTCTTTAAAGGCCGAAGGCAAAGATGGATTGGAATTAGGATCGTTAACTAGAACAGAAAGAGTTTTTTGAATGTGAAATGCCTCTAAAAAATCCAATTCTCCAATGGAAGATGTTTCTTGAATAATTTTGGCAGCAGAAAGATTGAAAGTGTGATTTTCGGACCAACAATGTTGAGCAACAGAAGACTTCTGTGTTTCCTTTTTTCTAACATATGCCTCATGTTCCTTGACGCGA